ATTTCGTAAGATTCTGTAAGAAACACAGAAACTGATTTTTGATGTAAGATCTTATAGTAAGATTTCATAAGATTCTTGTATGATTTTTATAACATTTGATAAGATGAATCCGTTTCTATGATTTTCCGTAAGATTTTATACCATCGTGTAAGATCTTGATCTGATTTTTTGACCTGGGAAGACACATATACTTCGTCCTTTTTTTAGCATAGTATAAAGACTATTTCTTTGCAGTGTTTTTGGCGTTTATGTCTGTTTTCCGATCTACTTGAACTAATTTATTTTAAAAAGATGAAGTATTTTACAAGGTGAGTACACAGCCATTTTAAAGAGGACGAGAGAGGAAGCTAAACGAAAGAAATCTGTTCTACTTGTCTATAGTCGTAGAGTGGAACTATTCTTCTTGAATCAGTCTATGGAATCAGGGCTGGTTATCTTTTCCACGTACTGCACCAACTCTAAGGTGTCTTCCTCTGTATAGACTCAGTTAGATGACGTGACTAAGATCTCAAAATACAGATGCACAGAAGTGAGAAAGTGCATTCAAAGATTGACGTCTTCACAAATGTGAGTATCCTCGGTGTGAGATCGCTTTGCCGCTAGTGGCTCTCAGGATGATCAATTCGGTCGTGTTTGACGCATAGAGAATCCAGCCATTCCGCCTCATTCACAGGATGCTAGATTGACTCTGGCAACGAACTGATCCGAGCGCTAATATCCACGGGTACACATTCTCTAAAAGTCCAAGCGTGAATGCTCGATACTTCACATATGGCAAACATAATTTTATCGGTAAAACTCACAAGTGAATAAACCAAAAGACATTTGCCTCTCACTTTTATTTTGAGGTCAAGTCGAATTAGAATTGAGAATCACCGTGGAGAGCTTAGTAAATTTGAGAAAGAAGGTTATGGAGTAAAAATTGATCGCACCATGTTCTTGAAGAAAAGTCCGAGTAAAACACGATGGAATCAAGTCGAAAAAAAGAACTAGAGCTTTTTAGAAAGCGAGAGAACGATTAGGCATGATTTTCTTGGTATATGCGTTTGAGAGTAAAAGTTTCCAAGCAAAAAATTGTTTTGGATCTAGCATAAGCCAGCTAAAAACGAACATTTACCTAACTTGAACTAGCTTATTATTCCCTTTAGGCAGCTTAAGCTAGATCCAAAAAACATTTTTTTGCTTGGTTTAACGCTGTTAATGGTATTACGATCAGGAAGTTTGTGGCTATAACATGGCATTAAAAAAGAAAAACGAAATGTGCGAGCGCTGCAGTTGTACAGCATATCCCACAACATAACACTTTCTTAGTTACTGATCAAACGAAATTTTCAGTCAAACGAAGTCTCTAATTCTTGCTTTAATTAAAATTAATTGTTAAGACGCATTGAAAAATATATCCTACTATAGATATGACTGAGCATAGTTTATTATTAACGGTCAATTAGTTTTACATGAGAAAGTACAAAAAGACAAATAAAACACAGAAACAAAATAAAGAACCAAAATAATGACTAAAAAAGAACCAAACAGAAAAGAATTCAAGCAAAAAAAAGTTTTTGGGAACTAGCTTAAGCTAGCTAAAAAGGAACATTTACCTACTAAAAAAATATTAAATTTTTGAATAACGGACTATTGAAAAATATTAAAAAAATTATTATTTATTAATTATTTATTATTAAAAAAATTCCTGTCCATCTCTATTCATAAAAAGTTAGTTCCTCCCGAGATCGATAGAGAAATGTGTGGAGAATATTTACTACAAGAAAATATGCAAAGATTTTTGTTCTTTCTTTCCTGTTATTGACTAATTGGTACTAATTAACGTTACTTTGGCCTACTCTACTAGCTTAAAGTCTCATTTGTAAAGTTGAGTGAGAGTGTTGTTTACTTTCAGTGCTTGTGTTAGTGCTTCACGTCCTCTGTCGGATATTTCGTTGCTTGCAAGATCAAGTTGAGTAAGAGTGTTGTTTACTTTCAGTGCTTGTGCTAGTGCTTCACCTCCTCTATTGGATGTTTGGTTCCATCCAAGATGAAGCTGAGTGAGAGTGTTGTTTACTTTCAGTGCTTGTGCTTCACCTCGTCTATCGGATATTTGGTTCCATCCAAGATGAAGTTGTGTGAGAGTGGTGTTTACTTTCAGTGCTTGTGCTTCACCGCCTCTAGCGGATATTTGGTTGTTTCGAAGATTAAGTTGAGTCAGAGTGTTGTTTACTTTCAGTGCTGGTGCTAGTGCTTCACGTCGTCTATCGAATATTTGGTTCCATCCAAGATGAAGCTGAGTGAGAGTGTTGTTTACTTTCAGTGCTTGTGCTAGTGCTTCACCTCCTCTATTGGATGTTTGGTTCCATCCAAGATGAAGCTGAGTGAGAGTGTTGTTTACTTTCAGTGCTTGTGCTTCACCTCATCTATCGGATGTTTGGTTCCATCCAAGATGAAGCTGAGTGAGAGTGTTGTTTACTTTCAGTGCTTGTGCTTCACCTCGTCTATCGGAGATTTGGTTCCATCCAAGATGAAGTTGTGTGAGAGTGGTGTTTAGTTTCAGTGCTTGTGCTTCACCTTCTCTATCGGACATTTGGTTGTTTCTAAGATCAGGTTGAGTCAGAGTCTTGTTCACTGTCGTTAGGCAAACGGCAGTGGATTGTTCAAAACCATAACGAGCCGTCGTGTCCCGGGAGCCGCTGAATGCCACAGCGAGTCTTAGTGAGGATAGTTGTGTCATACACGACAAGAGCGGCACCACGACTTTGACCACTTGTTCTCGTTGGACATTGAACAAGGATAAAGAGCGAAGATTTACCAATGTGTTCTGGGGAAAGTGGGTGAAGAACAAGTCAAAGTAACTGGAAGTCTCTTTAGACAGACGCAGAGAACGAATTTGCGCTGTTGATGGAAAGTGTTCGCAGATAAAATTACATTTGGATTTGCTGATGTGTTGAAAGTTCAGATCAAACTGTAGGCTGCCAATTAGTGCATCGAAACGATAGTTTAATCGAACGAATGAGTGGAGAATATCATAAGCATCGAAATATTCAAAGATTTCAAAAATCACTTCATTCGCAAGCGATTGAAATTGTGTCACATCTAAACAAACATGTATATTCAAGAGTTTGAATCTTTGGTGTCTCTTACATGAAGGGACTCTTTGAAGTACAAAGGAGGGAGAATGACAAGGTGGATACTCACTCTGCAAGATGAGTAGCAGTGTCACATTGAGTAATGGTTCTTCGGATTAAAATTAGGCGCGCTTCTATCCTCCCAGTCGAATATGGATGGATGGGTAACCATTAGCAGTTCAGTATGGTCCTGACCATGGATGTCATATCAAACACACACACTGCCACAGCAACGGATATGGCTGACGTTATTGTGAATGAAGTCATTTGTCGATATTGGTGCCCCAGATTTATTTTACCAGATAATGGACCTCAGTTTGTCGCTAACGTATTTACAGCAATTTGTAACGAGTTGGGAATCCAGAACAAGTTTACAGCTACGTACCACCCATAAACAAATATGACAGAAAGAGTAAATAAAACTGTAAAAGAAATGATTGCACAATATGCTGAAGGGAAACCCAACTCCTGGGCAAAAGAAATTTCAAAATTGGCCTTAGCAATAAGAACATCTGTGAACGAAACAACGGGAGACACTCCCGCTTTCCTTTAAATTTAGGTCGAGATCTACGTATACCCATGGATGTTATTCTCGGCGATCCCACTACCGGATCTCCAAAGCTCCCTGATAATACAGACCTGGTAACTCACAACTACCGAGCACGGCTTATTCAAGATCTCAAGTATGCACATCAGATAGCCAGAGAACACGCGGAGGTTCAGAAAGTTACTCAAAAAAGCCATTATGATAAACATACGACCCCAAGAACCTACCGAAAAGGACAATTAGTGTGGGTAGCTATCCCAAGCGGGCCTCTCCCTGGAAAGTTAAGTCCAAAATGGCAGGGTCCCTGCAGAATAATAAAACAGCTGACGCCATTCTCATTTAAAGTCCAGCGTCTAAAAGACGAAATTGTTCTAGGAACGGTGAACGCAGATCGTCAGAAACCCTTTCATGAAAAAGAAGAAACACACCAAACATCCTCATCAAAACATTCAAACCTCAAACCACTAACATCGACAAAACATATACCACCACTGATGTCTATACCGGCTACTGTAAAACCGACACCACAAATTCGAACGTCGGACCGCATCCGAAAGCCCACTGTTCGATATATCTCGTAAAACATTAAGCAAAAACTCTTTTCCACTTCCTATGAAACAAATTATAGTATCCTACAAGAACAAAACTCATCAAGTTTATCATCAGTCATGAAGCCAGATGTGAAACAGATATAATATCAATTTCACTTCAAGACGACCTAATACACATACTCATTGAACACAGATAAATAACATTAGAAACATCATTATCACACCACCTTTAGTCTCAGACGCACTACAGTCTCATACATAAACACTACAGACACATAATATAAACATTCGTCAAAAAGTTAACAATGAACAGATAGAAGAGCCATCAACAAGAAGTATGTACATCCACACATTGATATGTATCGTTTATAACAATCAGGACACTGCGCGAGGAAAATGTGTACTCAATCAACTCACCATATAATGAAGGAAAGGAAAAGAAAAGAGAAAACAACTAGACACTTCTTTTCTTCCTGATTGATTTCAAACCATACTTCACATCTTCCATATATACAACCATATAGCTCAGAAAGTGTGATATACTAAGAGAAAACGTGTACGCTAAAAATAACATTATCAGATGCTTTGTACCTCACATTAGAATATCACCATCTAGACGGATCTCCACTTACCTCTCCAAAAATGATTCGAAAACCATTAGCATATACGTTACTCCTCGCAATATTCATCTTACTCGCCGCACCAAGTATGTCAAACAAAACGTGCTTACCACGCCAAATGATTGTACACCCAGATACAGGACTCTTTCTCCAATACAATAGTGAATACACCCCATCGGATAAAATTATTTATAATACTGCGTGGTTTCATCTGACAAAAGATGCATGTTATTTAATTCCCTCGGCTGCCGTTACTAAAATCCCCCAGTGTCAAAACATAACCGTGACTCGTCATAAACGTTTGATATTCGATGTTATTAATCTTTGTATAGCATCAACAGCAGTGGGGCTGAGCACATCCAATACAATACAAATCGGCTTACTGAATCAAGCAGTTGGAGGAATCAATACAGAACTAAAACTGATGGCAGAACAATTGAAATCAGATTCAGCCCATTTGACTCACATAGAACAAGGGCAAGTGAGACTAGGAGCAGAATTAAAGAAAACTGAAGAAATGTATAACAAAACAGTAACAATTGTCAACGAACTTTCGACTGGCTATAAATATCTCAATGATAAAATCAATTATGTGAAACAGGAAATGAATCGCTGAATCGATAAACTAGAACAACGAATGGAAGGTATGTTCCTTTATACAGCTATGAATAATATATTTCACAATCAGTTCTCACTTGGATTTCTTGCCCCAGAAGACATAGCTTTGGCAATCCAAGACGTAATACAGAGGGAAAATCTAACTTTTGGCCCGGCGGCTAGACAACTAGCTTTATCCGTCTATGTAACACAGTTAATAATTCAACAACGTGTCGAGTTTGTTCCCGCAGTCCTCTACCTAACGACAAATCCTGATGAAATCGGACGCCTAGCATTTACCACTATATACACTGTTCCATCTCCGAAACAATCAAAATTCTCTGTCTTTAAACTAACAACAATTCCATTTCAACATAAATCTCGACCAGTTCAATTACATAGTATGCCTGCTTATTTTGGTTGCAATGAAGAGAGTAATTTAACGATCGAATGGTATAAAGATGACCTCGCATTATGTAATTTCGACATCATGACAAATTGTCGTGACACTCCTCCGATTCACAGAGTTCCCTCAAATATCTGTCGTCATCAAATTCTTTCAAATCAGACATTAACAGGCTGTAACACTGAGAAAGTTCCTCCGGCTCCACACTTTGTGAAACATCTTAATGGACCATCCTGGGCGGTATCAAAAACGCCAAATACAACATGTGTGATAGTACCCTCGCTTACAATACCCGATATATCACAACAAGTGTGGGTCGACAGTAAAAATGTTCAAATTCCTCCTGTAGCAGCGATTAATGTCCCAAATGAGTCAACGATAGTATGTGCTGGCTTTAATCTCCTTAGTCGACCCTCCTTTACCCCACTATCAGGTGTGGTTATTCTTCATAATAGTACATTTACTGCAACGGATGCGGAAGTAATTGATTTACATCAACATCTTAATGATAATCTAACCTGGCCTAAACCCCCATTTACCACTAGCGAAA